GACCGCCACCACCACCATCACCTATTTCTATTATCATCTAGAACCACCATTCACAAAGTGTTATAGGTGAAGAAAGAGAAGAAGAAAGACAATGGAAGAGAAAGAAACAAAGTTAGAGAAATTTATTTTGAAGTTCAAAAGTTGGTTTTCGGCTTACTTTCGGTATGCCAAAACCATCCATTCCGGGAAGAATTGAGAAAAATAGGTCATGTAAGATAAAGTACGGAGTAAGTTGAAGAGCATGGCGAAAGAATGAAGTAAAACCGTTAAGAATTAAGAAAGTTATGGGGTCCGAAAGATAGTTCGAAAAAAATGTCCGAGACAGGAGGAAAATAATCTTATTTTTAGTCAAATTTTGGAGATCCGACGGCATGCAAAAAGAGACGGGACAAGGCGTGTGAGTAGTGAACCAAAAACTAGGCCGTGAGGTGAATCCAATGACAAAAAAATAAGATAAAACGGAGTTACAATGAAGAAGATACAAGTATTTGAACTGGGGACATTGAAACTAAAATTCTGGGTCTCTCTGTTTCGTGCATGCTACGGCTTTGGAGAAGATGAGCTTAAATTTTATCCTATGTTTCTCGGCCCATGCTGCTACGGTGCACCCTAGTACCTTTAGGTTAATCGAGTGGTCCTATGACTTTGGGGATGACCACCCTTAGGTTTTTCGACGTGTAGAATCCATTTTTGGGGTTAGATCTTGCAAATTCTGAGTCTAAGATGATGATCAACAACTAAAAGTTCTAAGAGAATCCAATGGCAGATCAACGGTGAGATCGCGTCCAATTGATGTGAAATTTTAGCAAGACGATCATGGAGCCAGGACAATCATATCTTACGATCAGAATCATAAATCAAATTCGGACGATAAATCGTTAACAACCTAACATAGTAAGAAAACTCTCATAACCGTCTCATTCTTTTTAATTGTTAAATATTTAGATTTGTGTTCATATGTTAACATAGCTAAAACTTTAGATAAAATTTTGTTTATAGTTGTAGGTAAATTTGTGATTGGTATATTAAATATTTGAAGGTAATTTCTTTATTAGTGGCCTTAAAATCATGATATAATCTTGGATTTAGACTTGCATGTGTAATTTGTGCCATTAAAAAAATGATTAAAGATTTTATTTGGTTTGATTATATAACTCTTCAATCTGCTAGAAACTTGTACGAATTTTTAGACAATTTTATGCTCAAAATTTTGAAATGATTTTTTAACTAATTATGAAAAAAAAAAAAAAAAAAATAGTTAATAATCAGAAAGGAGAAAGAAAGAAAGAAAAAGAGAGAGAGAGAGAGAGAGAGAAAAAACACCTATTTTTTTATTTTATTGTTTTTTCCTTCTTGATGTTAGGCTGGTGCACTTCACAAGCTAGGTTTTAACGGTACAGACTTGTATGGGCTTCCAAGAAACACATAGAAAATCAAATTGATCAAGAGTCCATGAAACGTGCCAGAATCATTCCGCTATGCATCTGGTAAGATTATTACAAGGTGTGCTGGTGAAATATTCAAGTGGCTTAGCAATAAAGATTTAAGAATAAAATTTAAGGTTTGAGTCTCCCTAAAGTGTGCCGGAGTAGCCTTACTCTTCCTTGGGCCGAAGCAACTATCTCTTCTTGAGCCGGAATAAACTCACCTCCGTGGGCCGAAGTAACTTTGTCTCCCCAAGGCCGGAGTAACCTTGCCTTCTAGGCCGGAGTATTTAGTACGGCCTTTTTACCTAGTCCTCTGCGTTTTGGGCCTCAAAACCCAACTCGAAGCTCGGCCCAATTTTTCCCAAAAATTACCCTCTTAATTGCCCCTTAATTCCATCTGTGCAACATGATTGGGATTACCAGCCTTCTGGCCGAGCTAGAGTTTGTTACGCTTTTCCAGCCGAGCTAAAGATCCTTTAGCCTTTCCAGCCGAGCTAAGTTTACCTCGGGTATCACTATATCCGGTCAAAAACGTCTCTTCAATCACAGCGACTGTAACGCTTCCCATTCCAGTGACACGTGGCAAACTCTGATAAGCTGTGGCCAACTGTCACGCCGCCCTACAAAAATTTCGTGTTTGATATATACATTTTTGTATTGTGGTGGTGAGATAAAATTGGTGCGCCAATGATGAAATGGTGAGGTGGAGAAATAGTGGTTGCAGTGTAAGCATGACATAGTGGAAGTAAAATAGTGTTGGCGCTGGTAGTTGTGATGGTGTGATGACCAGGACAGCAATAGTGGTTGTGGTGAAGAATGATAGTGGAGAAAGTGAAAGCTTGTAGTGCTGGTAAGAGAAGCAACGGTAGAGATGTGATTCTATTGGCAAAATTATGGCAGTGGTGTAGTATATTAGTAGTAGTGTTTGTTGTGATGGCAATGGTGTGAGTATGGGTAGTAAGGGCGGTGGCGGAGACCATCGCTGTGGGATGTTTATGTAAAAAAAATAAAATTAAGAATTATGAAAAAATATCATGAAATACTTCATGAAGATTTTTCATCTTTTAATTAGTGTGTGGTGTTTTATTGTATGTGTAATCTAACGGTAAATGATCTTTCATGATCATCTTCATGATATTTTTTTCATGATCTTCAGTATTACTCATGTAAAAAAATATAGGTTTGACCATGGGCCGGGTCAGGCTAGGATTGATGAATACTTCTTAAGTGCAAATGTGTTATTATGAGCTTGTTTAGTAACTTGATTATTTTAATTGATTTTTTGGTTATTTTAAAATCTCGTTTGGAAATAAATTATTTTAGTAATTTTTTAGTTTTTTTGCTAAAATATGAGATTAAAAAAATTAGTATGTTTGGTATATTTTTTAACTTTTTATGAAAAGACTTACGAAAAGTAGAGAGAAAAAAATCTTTTTTGTACAGTTTATTGGCTTTTTAATTTTTTTGGGTATTTTTTGACTTTAAGGCTAAAATTGAATATTGCCAAGTGAGGCCTTAGTTTGGCTAAAAAAATTGTGTTTTGGATAATAGTTGACTTTTTTTTTTATCCTTCGTCTCAAAATATTATTCTCTTATTCTATTTTTCATTATTTCAAAATATTAGTCTATTTTTAAAATCAATGACTAAAATAATATGAATTTCTTATTTTGCTTTTCTTTTAAATTTATTAACATTAATATTTTTGAAGTGTAACAATTGTATTATTAAAGGGTAATTTTGAAATGTTAATATTTTTAAAATATAATAATAGTACTATCAAAAAAAAAAAAAAAGATTCCTCAAAGGGACTAACAGTTCGGGATGAAGGGAGTAGTTGTTCTATAAATTGTGGGATCACATGGAACAAATAAATTCAAATTTTATATTTGCAATTATAAATTACAACATCATGCTAGAAATTACAAGTAGAGGAACAGAAATACATAAAATAAAATAGCAACAGAAGACAAACTAAAGCCTGCACTAGACAGTGTCCTTAAAACAGATTCTTCGCTTCAACAGTTGGGTGCTGGAGATTGTTCGACATCTGTCTCCCAGGATACGACAATTGGACCAGCTATAGCAATGCACCAACTGAGTAGCCTCAGCGAACAAAACTTTGAAGCACTCTCTCATAGGGAGAATGTAAAAATTGTAGAAAATTTTGGAAGACAAAAAGAAGCAAATTTTCTGGGTCAACAAAATGAAGGAGAAGAGTCTTCTTTTATATACATAGTGGAAGAGATGAAAAGGCAACAACCATCAAGGCCTATCACAAATGCAGAAATCAATTCTGTATTAATCTGCAAAACTGATGGATTAAATCCATCATGAATAGAGGATTTACCAGCTTTATTATACACCTAGATTTTGTGTATATATATCTGCAGCCCACAGATCTAGCTTGGCCTAAAAAGATTAAGATGGGTGGGCCAAGCCCGACCCCCACACTCAATCAATTCCAGCAAGTCTCAAGATCCAAGTTCCAAGATCCATGACCCAAGGATCATAGACCAGGACCCGGTTCGGTTCGGTCCGACCAGGCGGTGCACATGCATGTGGCAATTTTTGCATTACCAACTTGGACCATAGTCTTGGCCCAAGTCCATCCTTAAAACATTCATAACTCCCTTGCTTTGAAAAATTTGAATGCCCCAAAGGGCTTACCCTTATGCAAAAAATAGTATTTAAATACTCATCAATGCTCTCCTCTAATCAATGTGGGATACAATGTTTTATACCTTTCCCAACACATTTTTCATGAGGCCAACTTAATGAGTCAATTCCTCATACAAACCTTAATAGTTTTTAGTCATTCTTTTTGTAGTATAAAGATCTCACTACAAAAAATCTAAACCTACTTTACTTCACTTCAATTGAGGATTGACACCCACTTTAATATTGCATTAAAATCACCAAAAACCCATTATTTTCCAACCGTAGTTAATTTGATGATTGTGAAAGAAAAAGTAAAATAATTATAACTTAGATGTGATATTTTATCTTATTGACTATTTAAACATATTTTGTCTTTATTGACATTATAATTAAAAAAAGCTCCTCAGCCCACTTCCCAAACATGGTGTGAAAAATTCGACCCGATTTATCTAAGGTCTCATTTGGAAATAAAGTATTTTAATAACATTTTAATTTTTTATAAAAGTTGTGTAAAAAAACAAAGAAAGTAAGGCAACATCTTATAATTTTTTTAAACATATTTGATGATTTTTTTTATATTTTTTATCTAAAATATTTAGGCTAAGTTTGGCATTCCATAAAAACTTTAAAAAGTCAAAAAGTCACTATCCTATTTAAGTCACATCATCTTATTTAATTCATATCACCTCTCTACCACATCATTTCAAACTCAATCTATATTTCTTAAAAAGTCAAAAAATATACTTATTTAGAACATTCCAAACAACCCTTTAGTTCCGACAGAGGCCTAAACGTCGCAGTTAGTTGACACGGGTCCGACATGGCAAGACAGAGGCACGTGTCAAAACCACAGAAAAAGACAAAAAAAAAAAGTTAAATAAAAATTGAAATATTAATGTGTCGTATTCAATTCTGGGCAAATGAGGAGGATTCTCGCATGCTCATACTCATCAGGTCCGGCTAATTATTGTCTTTGTCGTCTCCAAAATCATTTGCCATTACATTTGCGGCCCCCCACCCCCAAATCTCACATTTCACACCCTACAGACAGGTACATCTCTCTCTCTCTCTCTCCTTAATTTCTCGTTTAGATATCTGTACGTCGAAAATCCGCAAGCTTTCGATTAAATCTTCAAATTAGGGTTCGTATATGCATATTATGTATGTATATATACCATGTATGTATGTACTTGAGAGGGTATATTTGCATATGATGTTGTATTGGTCAATTCACAATGTTAATTGATTTTTTGATTGGTAAATTCGAGATATCATGCAAAATTATGGTTTCACCATCGTCTTGATTGATTCGTGGAAATTAAGCTTGCTTTAGTTTATCTAATTTGATTGAAATTATGATCCTGGTTTTGTATTTGCTTTTATTTTGACTGTTTCTGGAGTTTGTTTTTCCGTATATGGAAGCTGTAATTCATTAGCTTCTTTATTTTAATGTATATTTTGCAGGAGTGTTGAAGTTTCAGTAGTATGTTTCTGAAACTTGGGCTGTGAGTGTGAGGGTTTGAAGGAATTCATGTGATTGTGGGATTGTTAAGGGAAGTGAAGCTTTGGTTGGGAGGAGTTGACTAAGAAAGATGTATCGGCCTGTGGCTGCCACCACTACTCGGGGTGGATTACCAACCGATAGTGGGGATTCTGTGGTGACACTTGACCAAGTTCCACGTTGGAGTGATGCTGAATACAGGTTTTCATATGAGAATGAAGATCATGCTTTCCCAAATTCATACTTTCCGGACCCTTTAACTTCTTCCTCAGGGGCAGAGAGTAGTGGAAATGGTATGGTGCCCAGGTTTCCTGTGGATCATGAAATTAATTCCAAGATTTATCTGTGGAGGGGGTACCCTTGGAATCTTGAGGTGGATGCTGTTGTTAACTCCACAAATGAGGTGAGCTGTAATTATTTTCTAAAGCAGTGTTAGTTGTGCGATAAAAGATATATGTTTATTTTTAGAAACTGACGCCTTAAATGCCTACTTTTGCATGTGTGTGTCGCGTGGGCATTTTGACTTGTTTGACTGTGCTATAAAAGGGTTGCACCCCCTCAGTGCCTCTTTATTGATATTTCTTAAACTTGTAAAAATAAAATAAGGTAAACATGAGACCACTTGTTTTACTGAATTTGGATAAATGATAGAAGCATGAATGCAACATTTTGAGGTTTTGTTTCATAGGTTCTATATGTTGACTAAGCTTATAAAGCTCACCTTTCTAATTGTTTGTCTTGGACCTTGGAATCATGAATAATTATATAGCTTATCTGCACCTCCAAAGTTTTGAACTTTCTTCTTAAACACATCTTGCATGCAAAATAAGTGAGAGTTCTCTTCAGCTGTCTCCGATGTTCGAATTTGCGGCCCAAGCATGGAATGGGTACTTTTTCTTTATGTTATTTTGATGTATCAAATTTGAAAGTGGTGACAGAGTTGATCGTGTATTGTTAGTTGAAGTGAAGACCTTAGAGACCCAAAACATTGGTTTAAATAGTTATCCAAACCAAACCAAACAAAACTAAACTAAGCTTTGTGTTCCAATCAAGTGGGGTCGGCTAGGTTTAAATCAGTTATCCAAAAAACACAAAAATGGTTTAAATTAAATCTACCAGGGTGTTATTTTAAAGTTTCTTCCAAAGAAATTACAAAAATGTGCCCGCTTTTCAAATTGGATTTTATGATAGTTAAGTAGCCCGTTCATCATATTTGTCAGTGATGTACTTTTACCAAATAATGCAGTTCAGAGCTTCTCTGGAAAATTGTGCCACCCAAAATCATGCAATATTGACATATTTATTCAGTTCAGAATTCTGAATTTGTTGAAATAAATCATAATCTATTTAGCTAACTGCAACTTAGGGCCCATTAAATGCAGTAATGCACCTTAGGACCAGTTCTATTTCTTTCCATCACAACAGACTGCAAAGCATCCTTTAGTTCATCATCACATTAAGCATGTTGGGCTTAGATCACTGACAAACGAATGTATTTATTTTGTTCTGAGTTATTTTTCTATTGGGTGGTTGACAGAACCTGGATGAAGCACACAGCAGCCCTGGTTTGCATGCTGCAGCTGGACCTGGTCTTGCAGAAGACTGTGCAACACTGGTAAGTTATTTATATATCAGAAGACACTTTTACTCATTTTTTTCCCTTACTCTAGATTTCTTTCTTTGTTGCATAATGCAGATGCATATTTTGCATTAAACTTGAGAACTTAATGATTTCGCATATGTATGTGGATACATGATTTTAAAATATGGTTAAAAAGATAGTCGTTCTTGCAAAGATTGGACACACCGACACTAAAAAATTTAAAAAAATATAGGACACGACACATAAGGGATATGCTTAAAATATATAACTATATATATTATTTGTCATATATAACGATAAGCAATTGACATAAATATGAATATTTCATTCCAACATAATAATAAAATATAGTATAACTATAGTTGTTAAATCAAGAAACATATATTGTGAATCGAAATCTTAAATTTACGATTCGTGAATCAAATCGAGAATCGTTAAGATTTAGTATAAACTATAAAATAAAATAAAATAAAAAAATTAATGATGTTAATCTTATATATGAAAAAAAACAAAATAAATTGATTTTGACATATGTTATAAAATAGTTCTTATATAAGGAGATGATTATACTGTCTGGGAAGACATTGCCTTTATTGCAAGAGATGTGAGTCCAAATTCCGCTAACCATAAAAGTATTCAAAAACCACAATATAATTTCTCTTGATATTTAAAAAATGGACCTAGGAATCTTATATAGAGTATAATATTAAGAGAAAATTAAGTAGGATCCTTGAGAAATAATTATATGGAGTCCTTTAATTTAAAATCTAGAACACTTTAAAATGTGTGTATGTTTTTTGTTAAAAAAAGATTAAAAATAAATAAAAATTGTGGAACCATTGGGTTTAACTGATATGACCAATGTAATATTGGATTTATAATTATTTCACTAAAATGGCCATAGATAAAACATTCATAGAAGATGTATTATGATGTTTATTTTTTAAGGAAAAAATGTTATGAACATATTGGGTTTGACATGATCTGATTGGATCCTATTATTAAAAACCCTTTGATCATTATAAAAAATAACAATCCATGCATATGTATTTTTTTCGTATTGAACACTCTTAGATGTTGTATAATATCATTTCACTAAAAAAAATAGGTAAAAGGGTCGAATCTATTGGACATGATAGTTTTGAAAATTGCATGAATTGTAAAAAGTGAATCAAATTGTAAATTGTGCAGTTCACCATTGATTCTATCGTATGAAGTGTGGATATGAAAATGGAACACAATATTATTCAGATACCACGATACGACAATTTTTTTTTAAAAAAATAAAATAAATTAGAATATACAGGTATGACTATAATACATTGAAAAATATATATATATATATATATAATTTCTGGTATAATATTATACATGAGCTCAAAGAATAGTGAGAAACCAATATTTAGAAATTAGATATTAGCTAAGAAGCATGGAAACGGACAGGTGACATGACATAGATACAACACGGACACACCGACACTCTAATTTTCAAAAAAATGCAAGACATGGCACGTAAGGGACACACATGAAATATATAATTTTATATATTTATTGTATGTTATATATATAAATATATCATTCAAAGATAATAAAAAAAATGTAATGTGACACTAATTCCTATAAATTTATATGGTTTTTGTTTTATTATTGTATCTTCAGTTGTTTTATTTAAACTTATAATTAGTTTCACTTGAGTCTAATCTTGTGTTTAAGTGATAGACATGTGTGTCCTGCAACTGCTCAGAGAGTGTGCGGGTCTTTAAAAAAAATTAAAAAATATGACACGTTTTAAAGAGTGTCGAACACGTGTTTGGTAAGTGTCCCAAGAATGTCGGTGTCCGACACGGATACGACACGAATATATCACTTTCTTAGAAGTGTTCGTGCTTCTTAGGATATTAGTTTAAGAGCTATTAGTCAATTTAACTTTTTTCAATGGATATGTTAATTTGATAAAAGTTGAAAAAGTAGAGCACTACTTAAATTTCACTTTTTTCTTATTAAACAGTCACACTGCTTTCATGGCATAATAAGTTGAAAAGCCCAGCTCACACTTCTCCTTAAAACCCTGGTATTAAGAAGAGGGAAACTAGAGCCTTATAACTAGCACAGGTGTGGCAACTCCAGGCGATGTGAGAAAAATTCCAACACACCCTCCTGGACCAGGACACACAGTAGCCAGACAAACGGCACACCAATCACAGGCCCAACCAAGCTTTGATACCAAGTTGAAAAACCCAGCCCACGCTTCTCCTTAAAACTCAGGTATTAAGGAGAGGGAAACTAGAGCCTTATAACTAGCACAGATGGTGCAACTCCAAGCTATGTGGGACACATTCCAACATAATACAATAATAAAAGCAGACATATATGGTCTAGGAATGAGTACTTGTTGGAAACATAATCTTTGCACATTGGTTTAGAGTTCGCATTTGAAAAACGGCCTCATTTGTTTATGTTTCATGTATATATAGTAGTTTATATATTTTGTATATATTAGGGTTTTTGTTTCCTTTTTCAATTTGTTTCCTTTTTTAGTTCTAGGGTTACAATGATATATAAATCAGATGTATTCTTTGTATTATTACACAATTGAATATACAGAAAACATTCAGAAATCTTACATGGTATCAGAGCTTCGCGATTCCTGATTTCGTGGTGGCTAGGGTTACGCACGAACTGGTTCAACTTGCTCGTGATTCATCTGTTTGATCGAGTTCTCTCTTTCTCGATTGGTCTGGTACACGATCAAACTCCTTTGGTTCGATCTCTGTTCGTGACTTGGGTGACCCATTTGTTTCGTCTGCGAGTGCTTCGTCTGGATGCTGGATGTTTTGTCTCGCGAGTGAGTCGTCTCAGTCGACCCATCGAGCTACTCGTCTCAGTCTCAGTCGTCCTTGTGGCTCATCGTGTCTCTCTTTTGGTCGACTCATGTGGTCGTCTCTCTATGCTTCGTGACTCCTGGGGTCATCTCTCTGTGATCATCATTGTCTCTCTGTGGTCGTATTTGACCATCTGAATCAGATGTCAAATGACAAGATTCAAGCTCTTTCTTCATCTGTCTTCCTAGCTTCTACTCAGCCTCTACTGCCATTGATTCCATCTACCCATCAGCTTCAGTCTTCTGCAAAGCCCAAGAAGGGGCCACTAGCATCAGATGAGTGTGCCTTCTGCCATCAGAGGGGCTATTGGAAGTACCACTGTCCCAAGAAGGGACGTATGCCTGCCTCGTCTTTTCAGTAGTCTCAGAATCATTTCCGAGCTCCTTCCATCGCTTATATTGCATCTGCTCCGACTCCTGATCCTGACTTGGCTTCCTTGAGTGCTCAGATTAGCCAGTTTCAGCATATACTATCTACCTCCCAGCCATCCCCATCTACCTCCATCATTTCCTCTCTTCATTCAGGTTTGCTTGGGTTTGCTTCAGGTATCTCTTCGTCTATCTGGATTTTGACTCTAGTGCCTCTCATCATATGACTCTCCGTCTCTCTTTACTTCAAAATTATACTCCCCCTCCCTTTCCTATTACCATTAATGCTACTAATGGGTTTAATATGTCTGTTATATCTGTTGGATCTGTCTTACCGTCTGCTATGTCTGTTGTCTCTATTCCATCTGTCCTTTATGTTCCTCAGTAATCTGTCAGTTTATTATCTATCAGTCAGCTTGATGTCTCTGGTTTTGATGTTATCTTTTCTTCTTCTACCTGTTCTGTGTAGGATCGGATGTCCAAACAGCAGATTGGGACCGGCCGTAGAGTTGGAGATCTCTATGTGGTAGAGAGCTTGCATCTGCCTATGGCAACCTCTCCAACTACCTTTTCATCTTTTCAGTTAGATTCTCTGTCTAGTCCTTTCTACTTGTGGCATTCTAGATTGGAACATTTGTCTGCTAATCGCTTACGGTCTTTAACTCAGTCTGGTATATTGGGTAAAGTTTCTCCTGGTGAACTTACTGAATGTCGAAGGTGTAAACTTGCTAAAATGATAGCCTTACCTTTTCATAAAAGTACTTCCATATCTGATATACTATTTTCTTTAGTTCATACTGATGTTTGGGACCATTTTCCTGTTCTCACCAAAGGGGGTTCTGCATACTATGCATTATTTGTTGATAACTGCACTCGTTACACTTGGATTTATCTTATGACTCATAAGTCCGACTTCTATCAAATATACCGTACCTTTCAGTCTATGATCACTACTCAATTTGGGTCTACAATTAAAGTGTTACGGTCTGACTTAGGTGGGGAATATTTTAAAAATGAGTTCTGTGAGTATCTACTCCCCTTCTTTTTAGTCGGTCTCCTTATGAGGCTTTGTTCTCTCAACTTCCCAATTACTCCCTCCTTCATGTGTTTGGGTCTGCTTGTTTTGTCCTTTTTCCCCGTAAAGATCGAACCAAACTTAGTGCCCGGTCTGTCCTATGTATCTTTTTGGGTTATAGTCCTACTCAGAAAGGCTATCGGTGTTACGACCCTGTTTCTCGTCGTCTTTATGTCTCCCGTTGTGTTTCTTTTCTCAAACGTCTACCTTACTTTCAGCTTCCTCCTATCACTGCTCTAGTTTCCAAAGAGGATTTGGTTCACATTGACCCATTTCCTTCTGCAGTACCATCTAATGAATACATCTCCACAGTTCTTCCTGAGTTTGTTTCACCTTCTCTTTCTACTTCACCTCTGGCTGCTTCTCCTCCTCCTCTGTTGTAAGTTTATTCTCGTTGCAAGGCTCCTCCACCGGTTGTCTCTACCCCTACTGCTGATCCTCCGGCTTCTTACGATTCTGATCCTGCTGCACATCGCTATCATACTCGAGTGCGTCATCCTCCAAACAGGTTGGGTTGGTCTAATACATGTTTTTCCTATCGTACTTTTTTTTTCCTGCTGTTTACTCTTTTTCAGAACCTCAGTCTTACAAGGAGGCCTGTCAGGATCCTCAATGGGTTCAACCTATGAAGGATGAGTTGTCTGCTTTACAAAAAACTCGTACTTGGGAGTTGATTCCTTTGCCTGCTGGTACGATTCTAGTTGGTTGCAAATGGGTCTACAAAGTCAAGACTCATTCAGATGGTTCTCTTGAGTGCTACAAAGCTTATCTGGTTGCCAAAGGTTTCTCACAGAAATATGGTATTGCTTATGAGGAGACCTTTGCTCCTGTTACGAAGATGACTACTGTCTGTACTTTGATTTCTGTCGCTGTTGTTCGTTCTTGGCCTCTTTATC